GCAGCCTTCCTTCTCTGGCTATAAAGCTCACAGTTCACTGTTGGCTTCTGGGTTTGTGTTTTTAGGGTGAGATGGTTAATGGCTGTCCCGAGGGAGCAGCTTGACCTTCGAGAGGCTGTGGGGTGAGCCTAGTGAGCACCTGTGGTGCGGGGAGGGGGGCGCTCAGCATGGACAATCCCGCCAGTGGCGATGTGATGTCAAAGCCATGAGGGAAATGTTCCTGCACCACCTGAACACAGACACATTTCTGCTTCTCTGTTGCTTTTACAAAAACCATGAAAACCTGTTTCTTCCTTGGGATACTTTTGTTCTTCAGGTAAAAAGCATATTTGGCAGCTAGAGCTGCTTTTCAGCCTCTGTTTGATGCTTTCCTTTCCGATTAAAATTACGTGGGGCCCCAAGGCATATCTCATAATCACAAGCCACTCTCTTGGCTAGACATGCTGTTTTTGTGTGAATAGCATCATTGTTGTGTGGTCCCAAATGCAGGGAACGTGGAAGATGGGCTACGGCCCCAACGACAACATGCCGGAGAAGCTGTGAAGAATCAAGCACCACAACTTCTGTGCTCGGCCGCGGCGGACTAGCAGGGACCAGACTTACCCTCTCACCCAAACAAGCAAAAAATGGGGAAAATCTATGAAACGCGTTATACATTCCACCTCAGGCGACGAGGGAGAGAGACCCCTAGACGGGGACAGAGACAAGGTGGGCTGGCAGGTTGTGGTGTGGGTGCAGGTGGCAGAGGAGAGAGCCGCCCGGAGGGAGGGCGCGGACAGCTGCAGAGCGTGAGTGCTGGTCAGCGCGCCCACGGGAGGCATTCCCCAAGGCCTGGCAGGGAGCCTTCCCGGACAATTCGAGGGGCAATACTGGGCCTCACACAGGACTCCCAGAACAGAAAGGTGCGCAGTTCACAGAAAACCAGGCAGTGTGCTCAGAAGCGTTTTGCCTTAATAGCAGGAAAGATTAGCCCAAGACTAAAGGCTGTTCTGGTCCTACCTAACAAAGCTCACGAGTTTCAGTTCTCCCCAAATTGGCATAGAGGTTTAATACGATCTCTGTAACACCCAACATGGCTTCTTGGAGACGTAGACAAGTTTATTGTAAAATGTACATGGGAAGACACAGGACCTTGGATAGCTATGGCAATTCTGGAAAAGGACACGGTGGGAGAAATTGCTCAGTGGGATTTTGAGACTTATAGGAGTGCAGACAGTGGGGGGTTCAAGGGGAGGCCTGACCCGCAGATCGGGGAAAACAAGACAGAGCCCAGATATAGACCCACACCAATATGTTCAAAAAACAAATATGTCTTTTCCACAAATCGGGTGTGTGAGGGGAAAATGAAGCTCAATTTCACACCTTATACAGAAAATTAACTCAAAAGGGATCATGGACTTACATGTAAAACACAAAACTATAAAATTTCTAGGACAGAACACAGAAGGAAGTCTTAGGGCCGAGGCTTGAACCCATCAAAGGAAATGCTGACCAACTGCGCCTCAGCTAAAAATTAAACAGTTTTCCTCTCCTAACGATCTCTAAGAAGACAAGCTCCTGACTGGGAGAAACTATTTGCAAACCACAGATCTGACAAAGGGCTTGCATATAGAGTGCATAAAGTCAAAGAAAACAAAACAAAAACAAAAGCAGTCCCATTAGAAAATGGGCAAAGACACGAAGGGACATTTCACTGAGGAGGCCTGCACAGATGGCAGCTAAGGGCTTACATGCCGGACGCTGGTAGCCCCCGGGGAGCGTGCATTTAAACCGACCCGAGGGGCTGAAGTACCACTGCTTGGCTCGCGGCTTGCTAGAGGGAGCCGTAAATGATAGGGCGACTCAGGAGAGTATTCGGGCAGCTCTACACACGAAGCATGCACTCGGCCTAGGACCCAGCATTTGCTCCCTTGGTCCTTTATCCCGGGAAATGAAACCTTCACCCAAACCCACGCTGAAAACGCGCGTGTGCAACGTCCAGGTGGCTTCAGTCAGAGCAGCCAGAGCCCCAGGGAAACGCCCAGGTGCCCGCCCCTGGGTGAGCATTTGGACAGCCACGCTCCTCCTGTACGGAATCCTACTCAGCGATGAAGAGGGACGGACTGCTGACACGCACAACAACTTGCGGAGCGACAAAAGCCATCTCAAAAGGTAACACACTGCACGATTCCACCGACAAGAAGTAACAAGGCTGTAGCTACGGGGAGCAAACGAGTGGCCGTGGGGGCAGGAAGGGTGCCGGCGTGGCCAGAGCCGTGAGGCCGACGGAGCTGGCTGTCCTTGGTCTTGGTGGCTACAGGAACCTGCAGGTGAGGCAAGACTGCCCGGGACCGCACGGGCACACACACACACTCACACGCGTGCGCACCTGTCAAACCCATGAAGTCTGAGTAAGTTCTCTATGTTGTACCAATGCCAGTTTCCTGTTTTGGGGAGAAATGTGAAAATCCAGTGGGACCTCTTTGTACATTTTTTGGGCAGTTTCTTGGGAATCTGTAATTATTTTAAAATAAAGTTAAAAAAAAACCAGACAAAATAAAGAGTGGCGCTGCACGTGGCCATCATTACCAGCTGGACCACTGGTGCTAGTCCCCTTGATCAGGAGTGTTGAATTCACCCCCTTTTCCACGTGACACGAGGAACACCAATCATGTCTCCAGCTGGAATAGGCTCTGCCGTGGGGACACGAGGAGGGACGGCGCACGTCTGAGTCCAGGGGCAGTTTCAGGCGTACAGACCCCTCTTCTTTCCTCCTCACACGGTGGCCGCCTCTCACCACGTGGGCTCCTGTAATCACCTCCGAGCACAGTCACGCTGGGGTTGGGGTTTCAAGGCAGGGGTTCTGGGGGACCCACACATACGATCCATAACAGATGCCAAGAGAACATCAGCCCTGGAACAGAATTCCTGTCCTTGAAGTGTCCTGTCAGGACATAGTGCCCAGTGAGACGTGCCCGACATTTACACCTTAGGAGGTGAGGGGCCGCGGGTGGGGCAGGAAAAGCCTCCGTCTAGGACGAGGACCGGCTGGGCACGGGGGGAGGTGCAGAGAAAGCCTCCCGAGCCTGTGTGGTGGAGGGCAGGGCCAAGGTCTCCGTGGGGGGGGTCACCCCAGCCATGTCTCCTCTCCCCAGCCACACCTGCTTGGGCCCCAAATCTGACCCCTTTCACTTTCACCAAAACCTTCCCGATTAGTGTGACCTGGATTCTTCTTATTTCACTATTAGTGTTTGTGAATTCATGATTATTAGTTTCCTCACAGATCTCCCTGATGTTCTAAACAAATGCCGGGGACATCTGGTCCCTGCTCCCTCTCCGTCTGTCTGTCTCCATCTGTCTGTCCTCTCTACCTCTCCCTCGCATGTCTGTGGGTCTGCGGGGACATCCGCTTGTCCCTCCTGGCCTCTCCTGAGCATCAGGTGCACCTGCCCTAGGACCTTTTCACTGGTGGTCGCCCCCGTGGGACGCTCTTGCTCAGGACAATCTCACCTCATCCAGTGCTGGCTAGACCGCCACCTTCCTGCGAGGTCTCCCCGGCCCCCGGCTCTCCGCCCCCTGTGGCTCTCCCCACCCTATCAGACTGCCCCTGGAGATTAATGGCTCTTCTCCTCAGGAGGAAGTCTACACCACACTTCTAGAACATGCCCCAAACAAAAGGAGCACTTGGTACGAGTTGTGCCTGGTCGCTGACTGCACCAAATCGAGAATCGTTTCTCTGCAGGAGGAGAAGGGGTCCCCCAAAATCACAGAGAGACTCTGTGCCCCCATGGCTTTCTGGGTGGCAGCCTGGGGTGTCCGGCCACGCTGTCCACACATGGAGGTGCAAGAAGGGGGCTGGGTCTGGCTGTCCCCGAGGGGGCTACTGTCCACACTGGCCGTGCGGGTGATTAGAGTGCAGGGAGCTGGTGGTGGACGGTGGCTTTGTTGGCCTCAGCCAGTGTTTTGGGGGCAGTCCCGGCCCCTTTCCTCCCTTAGGGCTCAGAGCTGCTGCCGTCTCCCATGGACACCAGCTCCCAGGAAAACACGAAGACTCCCTCACACCAGGGCACCAGCACCCTCCAACCACAGGCGTCACCTTTAAACGGTGGACACAGCTTCACACCACAGAAATGACTCTCTGATGGTGGAATCTGGGCCTCCCAGTGCCGCGGAGACGGACCCCAGAGCCCCCACACCAGTGGCTGGGCAGCGTGAGCGGGGAGCGTGCTTCCAGGAGCCCAACGACAACACTCACAGCTCGGTCCCTTCAGAGACAAACCACAGATGGTCTGGAAAATGCACTTCTTCCAGAGGAGACTGGGTGGAGAGTGGCGCTCTTGGTGGCTGGGGCCGACGGGCAGCGGGGACAGTCTGTGGGGCCCAGGCCAGGCTCCAGGAGGGGCAGCCCCGGCGGAGGGAAGGGCCGATGGCCGCTCCCTCCTTCCAGATGTGACTGAACCTCCCTCCAGAATGGGTCCCCATCAGCATCTCCCCCTCCTTTGGGGAAGAATGAGGGAGGTCCTGACGACTACGCCGGGGACCGCGAGCCTGCTGCAGCGCCTGCAGGAGGAGACGCTCAGCTTTGTGACATGCTGGTCACAGACACAAGGGTCCAGTGAGGAACGGCAGCTGTCGGCGGGTCACGCAGCCCAGCAAACAGCCCCTTTCCTCGCGGAAAGGTCAGGACACCGAGCGGTCCAGCGGGGAGCTCGCGGAGCCTCGCGGCAGCTGGTCGCTTCAGTTTTCACCCTGCGCTCACTTCCCGGGACACTGGTCATCTTTGCCCAGGCTGCCCCACTGTGTCCTTCCGCGTGTGTGAGGTAAAACAGCGTTGGGGCTCTGGCTGCACCCCCTGAACGGCTCAGATGCTTGCGGCCCAGCCGTGGTGGACACGCACGAGGCCAAGACCCGCGAGGCCGAGACCCGCTTTCCACTTTGGCATAAACCAGGAGTTAGTCATCTTATTCTTAACTTAATTTTTTTGGCATAAAGAATTATAGATAGGATGTTCTTCGCATATGTGATTGCAAATTAGGTTAGTGATCCAGTGTCTGTCTTAGGGAAGCCTAATTTTAAGACTGAGCACGGGAAAACCGTTCTTCCAAAGTAAGACATACAGTTCCTGAAGCACCCGACACACACGCTCCAAGCTGTGGACCCCAGTTGCCGACAGGGGCTCAGACAGAAGCCTGTCCGCGCGTGTTCCCAGAGCCAGAGGTGGAGGCGGCCGCAGACCACGCTCCGTCCACAGGCCAAAGTCGGGTTTGGCCACGAGAAGGGGTGAAGTCCTGATAAATGCTGTGATGTGCATGAATCAAGAGTGAAGGAAGCCACACACAGAGGCCACCTGCCGTACGGGTCCACCGATGGAAGTGCCCAGAACACACAGGTCCACACACACGGATCCCACAGAGCTGGCCGGGCGCTGGGGGTGGGGTGACTGCTCGGTGGGCGCAGGCTTTCGTCTGGGGCGACGAGAATCTTTAGAGCCAGACAGAGGTGGCCTCACACAGTACTCAACGTACCCCACGCCACTGAACTGTCCACCGTAAAATGGTTGATTTCATCTTATGTGAATTTAATTTTCTCAAACATGGCAGCTTCGGCGCAGCCTCTGTGTTCCGACGTGGGACGCGGTTCTGGGGAAGTATTCAGCTACAGCTGTGCAGAGACACCCTCCTGGAGACATTGTTGGTTGGCGCACTGCACAGGAATGTTGCAGGATCTGCAGAAGCGGAAAGTTCGGGGGTCCCTCCCTGAAGCAAGAGTGGGGGCATGGAGAGTTGTCCCAGCGGGGGACCCCGACCGCTCAGATCAGGGGCACCCTTGAAACGGAGAGGCTAACGTACTTGGATTTTTTTTTTTCTATTGTAAAATATGTTTATTGATGGTAAGACTCCTATAATTTATTCCCGATACTTGATGTTACAAACTTTAGGGTCTTTGAGATATGCAGGATCCTTGTATGTAACTGGCATAAACCCCATTATTTGAACTCTCTTAGTTGCATTTGTGATTTCTTTCTGTTTTTTCCCACAAAGACCTGTTACATGCCTTCCATAAATGCATCCAGTAAATGGAGAAATAAACTGGGACAAAAGCTGTGTGTTCTTATAATCTACATGTTTTCCACACAAGATACTTTTTTTTTTTTTAAAGATTTTATTTATTTGCGAGAGAGAGAATGAGAGACAGAGAGCGTAAGAGGGAGGAGGGTCAGAGGGAGAAGCAGACCCCCCGCCGAGCAGGGAGCCCGATGCGGGACTCGATCCCGGGACTCCAGGATCATGACCTGAGCCGAAGGCAGTCGCTTAACCAACTGAGCCACCCAGGTGCCCCACAGGATACATTTTTTTAAGAGGCTCCTTGTAAGGATCTTCCACCAGAATGGGCAGGTCCTCATTGCCGGCTACCTGTTTTGTGTATTTGTATTGTGAACGACTTCTCCACAGTACCACGTGAGTCCCAGGATCTGGGAGGCAGAGAGCAGCCTTTACGAAATGCGTTAACTTTTTCCTCCCTAGATCACCACAAATAGCAACCAGAGCTGCCATGGATCCTCCCGTACTTGGATTTTTATGCTTGGGCTGCACTTGGTTATGAAGAGAGATTGGATGTTTACTGGACTTGCTCCAGACCACATGGTCTCAAACTTGGGAAGGGCTGGCATCCCAGCAGCAGAGGGAGGACAAGCGATCCAGGGTCTGCCACACAGGCCCCAGGCACGGCCGCCCCCACAGCAGACAGTTCTGGGGGACGTGCCGCACGATCCCAGTCGCTGAGGGAGGCTAGTGGAGGGCACGCAAGGGGCCCCGATGCTCCAGAGCCTCGGCCAGCTTGGGTTATGCTGACCTCGATCTCAGCTCCCCAGGAGACGTTCTGGTCTACATACATCCACGCCTTGCTAGAGGTGATCCTGCAGTTATGTTTTCCTTATTACACAAAAATCAACCTAAAATAAATGAAGCTAAGTAAATGGGTATCCACAGAAGCACCGCCTCTTTGCAGAAACCACCCCTGATTTCATAGACTTATATTTTGGTTTCTGGAATATAAAATTCTGTTGTTGGGAATGGGGGGGCAGGTTTATAAAACCTCTCTTTGAAATTAAGAGCTTCCAGGATATTCTTCAGGGAGGGAAGCCCAGCTCCGGCGACCCCGCGAGCCTGCCCTCAGGAGGGGTGGACGGAGCTCCCGATGCCCTGTGTGTCTGGCAGGCTCTGGGGTTCCCAGCCCGTGATGGGCCCCACGAGTGCCCTCTCTTCTCCATGGCCCCCACCCCGCCCTGCGTCCCGAACTCCCCTCGGAGGCCCCTTGGCCACGGCTGCTCTTCCTGATGGGGCAGGCGCGTGCCAAGCACACATGCTAGGTGATGAGGATTCTTCTAGAACTTCACCTCAATCCTAGCAAAAGAAACAAGAAATCTTGCATTTTATAAAGCCCTAAAAGCAAAATATTGTTTCTGACAATTCAAAATAGTAATTGCTGGAGAACTTCTGGGTTTCATACGGTTTTAGGAACAACCGGATGCCATTATCCCCCTGAGCCTGAGGCAGCTTTGGGCGGGGAAGGGGCCAAGTCGCTTCAAGGATCAAGGAGCCCAGGTTACCCTCCGGATCAGAGTATTTGGCTCCGGAGAAGGCTCCCTGCACACAGGGCCTGGGGGAGCATTTCTGAGGTGCTGTGTTTGGAGCGTCCAGGCACGCGGCCGCGCAGCCACCTCTCCTATGGCGGGCTTCCCCATGCACGTCTGGGCAGGGGTACGAGAACCCGCGGTGGAAAATCCCTTAGAACCCAGCAGAATGTTCCACACAGGTAACGAATCACTGGCAGGCTCAGATTGTCCAGCAAAAAAATACTGCTTTATTGGGTCTATTTCCTAGCTACAAGGAGAGCGGACACAGATGCCAAACAGTTCCTTTCCATAGACAGCTTACTGAGAAGAGTTTCATGCGAGTCCTGGGGGGCTAAGTGCAGGCTAAGGTCTAGGTGGCAGGCGGGGCCGTGGCCTGTGAGGAGCCCTATGCCGTCGCTCTTCACAGCTGTGTGCAAATGCTACAAATATTTTCAGGTTTGTGTTCTTTCTGGGAGTCCAACAACGATGACACATAATTGTACAGAAGAACATTTTAAAAATAATTCTGAGGGAGGGCTTTCTCCACCATAACATCATGTTTAATTCCTGTAACTTACATCCTCCACCCGAGGGTGCAATTCAGGCATGTTCCAGGAGGGGGCATAAATTCCTAAGGCACAATTATCGGGTTAAACATGTTTAATTAAACCATGCTTTTTGGTTATGTGAAACAACAGGTCACGGCGAGTAATAACGTGTAATAAGCTGTTAATTGTACAGATGCAGGGGGAGCAGTAGAGCTTAGCTAACCTACGTGTTAACAGTAACTAATCGGGAACGAACTACAAATGCTGCGCATTAAAACATTTTTGGTAACTGTTTTCTTAGACGAACCAGAGTTGTAAGGCTTCTGTGAAGGAATAATCTTACAGCTGAACAAATATATTACACTCCTTTCGTGATGTTATTTACAGTTGCTTTCCCATCTGCTGTTTGGTAACATCTGGGCATCAAGAACGCCTCTCCTGGCTTTCTGACGAGTTCGGCCGGCGACGCCGCCCAAGACAACGCGGACCCGGAGGACAGGAGATGCACCCCCGTGGACGCAGCTGAAAAGCCAGATTTTGTCTTAGATGCGTTTTCCAGAACGGATACGGGTTATTGCTAACTCGGCAGCCCTTGCTGGGCAAAGACCGCACATCACCAACTCTGTCATTCTTTATCTGTACATAAATATGTGCCTGTAACGGTACATCCATGCAAATGCAAGATCTGTCCTGCGGCGGACAGACTTCTTTTTTTGTCCAGCAACATATCTTGTGCTATCATCTTACTTGCGCTACGTTCGAAGCCAGATTAAAAACAAAACCCTAGCATGCTACAATTAACAATCCTATGGTTTCGGTAACGCAGGGGAGGGAGCTGGTGACGCCAGAAAGGACAGAATAAAAAATCCCTAAAATGCGCTGAATAAGGCAACAGGCTGCACTTTGCAGCCCAAGGGAAGCTGATAAAAAGCAGGAAGCGCGTGTTAGGTTTTTCTCACAATGCCTAGCTTGCCAGTATTCTCCTAATTTATACAAAAGAGAAAGCCTCATGATGAAGCGTCTTTATAGCTTTTGCTCCTACAAATACCCTCCTGGTGGCAGACTCAGTGCTCCATCCTATGGCGCCCTGATGCTGGGGTCTGATTAATAAGGCACTTCCAGTCCTGAAGTCCGGGGGTGCCCCGGGGGGCCCCGCGAGAGGCGCACTCGCTTCCCTGCCCCCTTCGGTCCGTCCTCCCTGTCACAGAGCTACTTCTTTGAGCGTACGATGCAAATCTTCAGTAAGCTGGAGTTCTGACGGGCACCAGGGATGTGTTTGGTCTACTCAGAAGTCCTGTGTCGGAGCTTGACCGTCAGCGGCCAAGCCGACACCGCGCGGCTTCCGAGTGAGTTCCGTGTGGGCAGCTATGATCGGATGTTGGTGCTGGAGAGATCGTTCCGTATTATTTCATTTACTGCAAGAAAACACAATAGAAAATCCATTAGGGAAACACCGCTCTGCCCAGAATGTTTGTAAGAACCAGAAATCCCATCAGCCATGCTTTCAGCCCAATATGCTGAGTCTGTGCAAAGGGTCTCCCGGAGGGGTGGGACTCCTTCCTGCTTCCCACCACGGGCCTGGGATGTCCTGAGCCAGCAGCATGCAGCCGCCTGGGCCCGCCTGCGACAGCAGGGGCATCACCGACAAACTGACTCCTCGATCGTGGGCCCCGGGAAAGGGCGCCTGGTGCTGGTCCAGGCAGGCGATTCCACCCGAAAGACCAGCAGAGGCGCCCCGCGGGGAGGCATGTCCCTGAGGTCCAGGCTCAGAGAAGCCCCTCTTTAGTCTCGTCCTCGGACAGGCCACGGCTGAGAGGGGGGCCGACCACGGGGCGGCCGGGGCCTCCCTTTGTTTGGGGCTCTTCCTTCACTTGTGCTTCCTTGTCCGTGTCCACTATCAGCATGTGGCTTTTGGCAGCAGGAGAGGAAATGAGCGAAGCTGGCAAAGGCCATCATGAGCAGGCTGCACAACATCCCTCTCTCCACCCCCTGATCGGCCCCCAGATAGGGGACACGTCCCCACGGCCCACTTTCCTAACAGAACTGGGAGGTGGGGGACACGTGCTCACGTCACGGAACTGCCCAGGCTTCCCTTCGCCGCCCAGATAAACTCCCCGTGTTTCTGCAAAGGCCCCGGCACGTCCCAGAGCGGCTTCCTGCAGCAATTAGCTGGCACACCTGTCATCACCCCACTCCCTCCCCTAAATGCCCTTTCAACACTCCCGCTATTGTTAAGAATAACAATAATAAAATGTGGTTGGGGGAACCAGGAATCGTGTCATGGCTGCTGATAACGGAGCCCACTGGCACCAGCTTTACAGCCGGGAGCCGACGACCGAGCCCCAGGCCCACCCGCCGCCTGGCCAGGGGGCCGCCGGGGGGGAGGGTGAGTCACTGCATGCAAACAGTAGAAGTACGCAGCAGGCCGGGGTGGGCGCCAGGCCAGCCTGCCTGCAGAGGACACATCTGCCTGGGACACGGATGTGATGCACGACCCCCGGACACGCAGCCACGCCTTCTCTGAGGATGGCACTGACCTTCATGCAGAAAACACCGGGCCAGCCCAGGGACCCCTCCCAGCTCGCTGTTAATGAGGCAGTAATGAGGCCCAGGTGCTCAGACCAGCTCTCAGGATGACACCTGTCCCTGGAGTGTGCCAGGGGCAGCTCGTTAGTGGGAGGCAGTTTTTCCGTGGCACTCCGGCTGCCCAGCTTTGCCAGGCCCACTGGAGACCCCTGACGGGAGTGCCTGGCCACGGCCCCTGGGACGGCAGGGCAAGGCGGCTCTCCCCATCCCTTGACCTGGAGACCGCTGCAGCGTTCCCAAGGCCTCCTGCGCCGCGCTCTGCTGGGTTCCTGGAGCACAGACAGGAAGGGGGCAGGCACGGGGCAGCAGACACAGTCCCACTCTTCTTCCCACTTCACTCGTTTGGCCTCTATCTTTTTTGAGAGGCACGGGCCCAATTTACACTTTGCAGAACCCTGTTCTATCAAAGAACATTTTGACAAAGAAAATAACAAATCTGAGTGTCTCTAGCGCACTGCCTTGGTGAGGAGAGGCTTCTCGGCGGAGTGGGCTGGACATCCTTTCGGTGACAGAGCTGTGACAGCTGATGTGGCAGGGACGGTGCCCGCCCCACAGAGCATGTCGCTGTGGCTGGCGTGGCACGTGGCCCCTTAAAGTTGCTTCATGGTGACTTTCTCATTTCATCCTGAGCCCGCGCCAAGCCACAGGCCCAGCAGGTCTTCCTAACCCACGTTCAGGTTAAGCTCTGAGAAGGTGTGCAGGGCACACGCGGGGGCAGGTGGACCAGTTGCCACAGGCAGCCCGGAGTCCAGGGCTGAAACACTCAGCCATGACACCAAGGGATGAGGCCTTCTGCACAGGGGCGGCGTGGACAGGATGCCACTGAGCGATGGGGCCGGCCCTATCAGGTACACGCACCAACACTGGGTTTCCTTGCTCATTCCAAAGCAAGGACAGTTGGTCTCAGACGAGAAATCCGATCCAGCAAGAGCAGACACTGGGTGGCTGAAAGAGTTCTCACGGGGACTAACGTCAGGGAAATGGGGGGTCTGAGGGGTAATAATGATGGGGGATATGGGGGGAGGTGTGAGGGTAATAATGATGGGGGATATAGGGGGAGGTGTGAAGGGTAATAATGATAGGAAAAAGGGGGAGGTGTGAAGGGTAATAATGATGGGGAATATGGGGGAGGTGTGAAGGGTAATAATGATGGGAATATGGGGGGAGGTGTGAAGGGTAATAATGATGGGGAATATGGGGGAGGTGTGAGGGTAATAAAGATGGGGAATATGGGGGGAGGTGTGAAGGGTAATAATGATAGGAATATGGGGGGAGGTGTGAAGGGTAATAATGATGGGGAATATGGGGGAGGTGTGAGGGTAATAAAGATGGGGAATATGGGGGGAGGTGTGAAGGGTAATAATGATGGGAATATGGGGGGAGGTGTGAAGGGTAATAATGATGGGGAATATGGGGGAGGTGTGAGGGTAATAATGATGGGAATATGGGGGGAGGTGTGAAGGGTAATAATGATGGGGAATATGGGGGAGGTGTGAGGGTAATAAAGATGGGGAATATGGGGGGAGGTGTGAAGGGTAATAATGATGGGGAATATGGGGGAGGTGTGAAGGGTAATAATGATGGGAATATGGGGGGAGGTGTGAAGGGTAATAATGATGGGGAATATGGGGGAGGTGTGAGGGTAATAAAGATGGGGAATATGGGGGGAGGTGTGAAGGGTAATAATGATAGGAATATGGGGGAGGTGTGAAGGGTAATAATGATGGGAATATGGGGGGAGGTGTGAAGGGTAATAATGATGGGGAATATGGGGGAGGTGTGAGGGTAATAAAGATGGGGAATATGGGGGGAGGTGTGAAGGGTAATAATGATGGGAATATGGGGGGAGGTGTGAAGGGTAATAATGATGGGGAATATGGGGGAGGTGTGAGGGTAATAATGATGGGAATATGGGGGGAGGTGTGAAGGGTAATAATGATGGGGAATATGGGGGGAGGTGTGAGGGTAATAAAGATGGGGAATATGGGGGGAGGTGTGAGGGTAATAATGATGGGAATATGGGGGGAGGTGTGAGGGTAATAAAGATGGGGAATATGGGGGGAGGTGTGAAGGGTAATAATGATGGGAATATGGGGGGAGGTGTGAAGGGTAATAATGATGGGAATATGGGGGGAGGTGTGAAGGGTAATAATGATGGGAATATGGGGGGAGGTGTGAAGGGTAATAATGATGGGAATATGGGGGGAGGTGTGAAGGGTAATAATGATGGGGAATATGGGGGGAGGTGTGAGGGTAATAATGATGGGAATATGGGGGGAGGTGTGAGGGTAATAATGATGGGAATATGGGGGGAGGTGTGAAGGGTAATAATGATGGGGAATATGGGGGGAGGTGTGAGGGTAATAAAGATGGGGAATATGGGGGGAGGTGTGAGGGTAATAATGATGGGAATATGGGGGGAGGTGTGAGGGTAATAAAGATGGGGAATATGGGGGGAGGTGTGAGGGTAATAATGATGGGGAATATAGGGGGAGGTGTGAAGGGTAATAATGATGGAATATGAGGAAAGTTTGAGGGGTAATAATGGTGGGGATATGGGGGGAGCTGTGAGGGTAATAATGGGAATATGGGGGGAGGTGTGAAGGGTAATAATGATGGGAATATGGGGGGAGGTGTGAGGGTAATAATGGGAATATGGAGGGAGGTGTGAAGGGTAATAATGATGGGAATATGGCGGGAGGTGTGAAGGGTAATAATGATGGGAAATATGGGGGGAGGTGTGAGGGTAATAATGGGAATATGGGGGGAGGTGTGAAGGGTAATAATGATGGGAATATGGGGGGAGGTGTGAGGGTAATAATGGGAATATGGGGGGAGGTGTGAAGGGTAATAATGATGGGAAATATGGGGGGAGGTGTGAGGGTAATAATGATGGGAATATGGGGGGAGGTGTGAGGGTAATAATGATGGGGAATATAGGGGGAGGTGTGAAGGGTAATAATGATGGGGAATATGAGGAAAGTTTGAGGGGTAATAATGGTGGGGATATGGGGAGAGCTGTGAGGGTAATAATGGGAATATGGGGGGAGGTGTGAAGGTTAATAATGATGGGAATATGGGGGAGGTGTGAGGGTAATAATGATGGGAATATGGGGGGAGGTGTGAAGGGTAATAATGATGGGGAATATGAGGAAAGTTTGAGGGGTAATAATGATGGGGTTATGGGGGGAAGTCTGAGGGGTAATAATGATGAGGAATATGGGGGAAGGTGTAAGGGTAATAACGATGGGGAATATGGGGGGAGGTGTGAGGGTAATAATGATGGGAATATGGGGGGAGGTGTGAAGGGTAATAATGATGGGGAATATGAGGAAAGTTTGAGGAGTAATAATGATGGGGATATGGGGGAAGTCTGAGGGGTAATAATGATGAGGAATATGGGGGGAGGTGTAAGGGTAATAACGATGGGGAATATGGGGGGAGGTGTGAGGGTAATAATGATGGGGAATATGAGGAAAGTTTGAGGGGTAATAATGATCAGGAATATGGGGGAAGTCTACGAGGTAATAATGATGAGGAATATGGGGGAAGTCTGAGGGGCAATAATGACGGGGAATATGGGGGGAGGTGTGAGGGGTAATGATGGGGAATATACGGTTAGGTCTGAGGGGTAATAATGACGGGGAATATGGGGGGAGGTGTGGGGGGTAATAATGATGGGGAATACGCAGTTAGGTCTGAGTGGTAATAATGACAGGGAATATGGGGGGAGACCTGAGGGGTAATAATGACAGGGAATATGGGAATAGTTCTGAGAGGTAATAATGATGGGGAATATGGGGGGAGGTCTGAGGGGTAATAATGCCAG